CTAGGTTGAGTGAAAAAAAAATTTCATCCTCTTCAAAAAACTCGATTTTTCTACAAATTTTCATAGGGGGGTACAGAGGGTTCAGTATCACGTTGGATGCATCTCAGCCTGTAGCAACTTTCTTCCATACATCACGTTTACGTTCACATCTGTTTCGAGGTCTAAAACACTTGTTCTAGGTTGAGTGAAAAAAAAAATTTCATCCTCTTCAAAAAACTCGATTTTTCTACAAATTTTCATAGGGGGGTACAGAGGGTTCAGTATCACGTTGGATGCATCTCAGCCTGTAGCAACTTTCTTCCATACATCACTTTTACGTTCCATCTGTTTCGAGGTCTAAAACACTTGTTCTAGGTTGAGTGAAAAAAAAATTTCATCCTCTTCAAAAAACTCGATTTTTCTACAAATTTTCATAGGGGGGTACAGAGGGTTCAGTATCACGTTGGATGCATCTCAGCCTGTAGCAACTTTCTTCCATACATCACTTTTACGTTCACATCTGTTTCGAGGTCTAAAAACACTTGTTCTAGGTTGAGTGAAAAAAAAAATTTCATCCTCTTCAAAAAACTCGATTTTTCTACAAATTTTCATAGGGGGGTACAGAGGGTTCAGTATCACGTTGGATGCATCTCAGCCTGTAGCAACTTTCTTCCATACATCACTTTTACGTTCACATCTGTTTCGAGGTCTAAAACACTTGTTCTAGGTTGAGTGAAAAAAAAATTTCATCCTCTTCAAAAAACTCGATTTTTCTACAAATTTTCATAGGGGGGTACAGAGGGTTCAGTATCACGTTGGATGCATCTCAGCCTGTAGCAACTTTCTTCCATACATCACTTTTACGTTCACATCTGTTTCGAGGTCTAAAACACTTGTTCTAGGTTGAGTGAAAAAAAAATTTCATCCTCTTCAAAAAACTCGATTTTTCTACAAATTTTCATAGGGGGGTACAGAGGGTTCAGTATCACGTTGGATGCATCTCAGCCTGTAGCAACTTTCTTCCATACATCACTTTTACGTTCACATCTGTTTCGAGGTCTAAAACACTTGTTCTAGGTTGAGTGAAAAAAAAAATTTCATCCTCTTCAAAAAACTCGATTTTTCTACAAATTTTCATAGGGGGGTACAGAGGGTTCAGTATCACGTTGGATGCATCTCAGCCTGTAGCAACTTTCTTCCATACATCACTTTTACGTTCACATCTGTTTCGAGGTCTAAAACACTTGTTCTAGGTTGAGTGAAAAAAAAATTTCATCCTCTTCAAAAAACTCGATTTTTCTACAAATTTTCATAGGGGGGTACAGAGGGTTCAGTATCACGTTGGATGCATCTCAGCCTGTAGCAACTTTCTTCCATACATCACTTTTACGTTCACATCTGTTTCGAGGTCTAAAACACTTGTTCTAGGTTGAGTGAAAAAAAAAATTTCATCCTCTTCAAAAAACTCGATTTTTCTACAAATTTTCATAGGGGGGTACAGAGGGTTCAGTATCACGTTGGATGCATCTCAGCCTGTAGCAACTTTCTTCCATACATCACTTTTACGTTCACATCTGTTTCGAGGTCTAAAGAAATAAATGGCCAAGCGAAGACAAAACATCGTTTATGTTCCTCGAAAAGGTGGAAAGTTAAGAAAAACCATTTTTTCTAGAATATGGATAATTTACATTGTACAGGGCGAATTCATTGGAATTATGAAAGTTTACATTGTACAGGGCGAATTCATTGGAATTATGAAAGTTTACATTGTGCAGGGCGAATTAATTGGAATTATGAAAGTTTACATTGTGTAGGGCGAATTCATTGGAATTATGAAAGTTTACATTGTGTAGGGCGAATTCATTGGAATTATGAAAGTTTACATTGTGCAAAGCGAATTCGGCAGAATGTGGGCATTTTACATTTTGTGGGACATTTAAGTTAGATTATGCCCACTTTTTCGTTTCAATTCGCCGCAAAACTCAACATAGGTGAATTTGCTCTTAAATGGGTATTTTATTTAAATTTTGGTGGATATTTACGGCGAATTCATTTCCACATTGGGCTTTTTGTGGGTGTTATTTGAAAAACATTAGTTTTCGGCCCGTCGTTCGTTAAAATGTGCAACTTCGGCAGAAAACGGCCCTTTTTTAATTATTATATCGTTTTTCAAACGTTTTAAGCTGTTTTAAGCTATATTTACGCTTTTTATTGCACCCGATTTTATTTGAATTCGCCCTATTCGATGTATATTACCCACGTTTACATTTGAATTCGCCGTACACGATGTAAATTACCCACTTTCCAATGAATTCGCCTCAACTGGAATATATTTACATCGTGTACGGCGAATTCAAATGTAAACGTGGGTAATATACATCGAATAGGGCGAATTCAAATAAAATCGGGTGCAATAAAAAGCGTAAATATAGCTTAAAATGTCATCTACAGCACCGTATAATTGAGAAACTTTCAAAACATCATCAAAATAGCTAAGAAAATTACCATTTTCGAAAAACTGAGCAACAATTTTTTTTTCACTATTTTCAATACTTTTATAGCAAAACAAGTATCATCTTGCATTCTAAATGTCATTTTTAGCACCGTATAATTGAGAAACTTTCAAAAAATCATCAAAATAGCTAAGAAAATTACCATTTTCGAAAAACTGAGCAACAAAAATTTTCACTATTTTCAATACTTTTGTAGCAAAACAAGCATCATCTCGCATTCTAAATGTCATCTTTAGCATTGTATAATTGAGAAACTTTCAAAAAATCATCAAAATAGCTAAGAAAATTACCATTTTCGAAAAACTGAGCAACATTTTTTTTTCACTATTTTCAATACTTTTATAGCAAAACAAGTATCATCTTGCATTCTAAATGTCATTTTTAACACCGTATAATTGAGAAACTTTCAAAAAATCATCAAAATAGCTAAGAAAATTACCATTTTCGAAAAACTGAGCAACAAAAATTTTCACTATTTTCAATACTTTTGTAGCAAAACAAGCATCATCTCGCATTCTAAATGTCATCTTTAGCATTGTATAATTGAGAAACTTTCAAAAAATCATCAAAATAGCAAAAAAAAAAAAACATTTTCGAAAAACTGAGCAACAATTTTTTTTTTCACTATTTTCAATACTTTTGTAGCAAAACAAGTATCATCTCGTATTCTAAGTGTCATTTTTAACACCGTATAATTGAGAAACTTTCAAAAAATCATCAAAATAGCTAAGAAAATTACCATTTTCGAAAAACTGAGCAACAATTTTTTTCACTATTTTTAATACTTTTGTAGCAAAACAAGTATCATCTGGCATTCTTAATGTCATCTGCAGCACCGTATAATTGAGAAACTTTCAAAAAATCATCAAAATAGCTAAGAAAATTACCATTTTCGAAAAACTGAGCAACAATTTTTTTCACTATTTTTAATACTTTTGTAGCAAAACAAGTATCATCTCGCATTCTTAATGTCATCTGCAGCACCGTATAATTGAGAAACTTTCAAAAAATCATCAAAATAGCAAAAAAAAAAAAACATTTTCGAAAAACTGAGCAACAATTTTTTTTTTCACTATTTTCAATACTTTTGTAGCAAAACAAGTATCATCTCGCATTTCTAATGTCATCTACAGCACCGTTTAATTGAGAAACTTTCAAAAAATCATCAAAATAGCTAAGAAAATTACCATTTTCGAAAAACTGAGCAACAATTTTTTTCACTATTTTCAATACTTTTATAGCAAAACAAGTATCATCTCGCATTCCTAATGTCATCTACAGCACCGTTTAATTGAGAAACTTTCAAAAAATCATCAAAATAGCTAAGAATATTACCATTTTCGAAAAACTGAGCAACAATTTTTTTTTCACTATTTTCAATACTTTTATAGCAAAACAAGTATCATCTTGCATTCTAAATGTCATTTTTAACACCGTATAATTGAGAAACTTTCAAAAAATCATCAAAATAGCTAAGAAAATTACCATTTTCGAAAAACTGAGCAACAATTTTTTTCACTATTTTCAATACTTTTATAGCAAAACAAGTATCATCTCGTATTCTAAGTGTCATCTACAGCACCGTATAATTGAGAAACTTTCAAAAAAATCATCAAAATACCAAAAAAAAATTTCTTCGAAAAACTGAGCAACAATTTTTTTTTCACTATTTTCAATACTTTTGTAGCAAAACAAGCATCATCTCGCATTCTAAATGTCATTTTTAGCATTGTATAATTGAGAAACTTTCAAAAAATCATCAAAATAGCAAAAAAAAAACATTTTTGAAAAACTGAGCAACAATTTTTTTTTTCACTATTTTCAATACTTTTGTAGCAAAACAAGCATCATCTCGTATTCCTATTGTCATTTTTAGCACCGTATCATTGAGAAACTTTTAAAATATCATCAAAAAAATACAATTTTCGAAAAACTGAGCATTAAAATTTTGTCACCATTTTCATTACTTTTATAGCAAAACATGCATCATCTCGCATTCTAAGTGTCATCTTCACTTTTGAGATTTTGTATACTGTTTGTTTTTCATTTCTTTAGAGCTGATAATGTAACTTTTCTTTACTAATTTTGCATTTGTTGTTATGAAAATGATTCTCTTTTACTTAAGATCGAGTAATTTAAAAATAAGTACTTATTTTGTACACAAGGTACCATGAGAAAGATAAGTCATTTTAGGAAGTTTTCTCCTAACAACAAACTTTTGTTTTAAATTTGCATAAGCAATTTCTAATCCAGAGAGCGAATTCGTTGCAATATTGGCAATTTAAATTAATGGGACGAATTCGTGCAAATAAATAATATTCATTCTATTAAGCGAATTTTAACAAAAAAGTGGTAATTTCTTCTTTCTTAATAAATGATGTTAAATTTGTCTGGTGTGAATATAATGCAAACTGGCAGGCAGTCAACAATTTATATTCCACAGATAATTACAATGGAACAAAACAAAAATAGTGAAACATAACAAAGTACGATTTGTGAAAAATAAAAATGGAAGTGGATATTAAAATAAAGAAAGAGTTGGTTTTTGAGGATGAAAAGTTTTATTTAGAAAGTTTCTCAAATCAAAATCTTCAGCATAATGAAATGCCCATGGATATAAAAGAGGAAATGCAGGATGAATATGATAATGAAATAATATCAATGTATCCGCAATCAGATCCATATCAAGCTTTAATTAACTTGTCTGAGGATTCAATAAGCAGTAATTCAATTTTACATCAGTTACTTCAAGAGTGTGAAATATGTCAGAAGAAATTAAAACGGAAATCATTGTATTCACATATGAAGCAAGTACATGGAGCTTTGCAGGAGCTGTTTAAATGCAGTTTGTGTTCTAAAACATTCAAGTCAAGTATTTACCTAAAACATCATGAAAATACACATAGTAAGCAGTTTGATTGCTCATTTTGTGGAAAAATTTTTTCGCAAAAGTTTGAACTTGGCAATCATATTAGCAGGCAGCATAAAAACCCTGGCTCATTTGAGTGTAAAGTGTGTCTTAAGAAATTTAATTTGAAGAAAATTTTAAGAAGCCATGAGAAAATTCACGACAAGGACCGCCAAAAATCATATAGATGTGACATGTGTAAATATGCTACAGACAACAGCCATCACTTTTTACGACACCAGGAGACGCACAGGCATAAAAAAATTAGTAATTTTATTATTAAAACAGAAAACTTGTAAAAATTTTGTTCCATTTTCATCCAATTTCATAATAAATTTTTAAAACTGACAAAATATTTTTAAATTTTTTACTGAACACTGTAAAAAAGAATTCAATTTTTTTTTTCATTTTAAAAGACTCTGCTTTTATTGGTTTATATTTCATTATTAACAAACTATAGTTAAAAAAATACAATGAATGAATTATAAATGCTAACTCATTCTAATAGCTTGTATGAAAAAAATAAAAAAGAATTCATTAGTATAATCCAATTTACTCAATTCTTGAGGATTTTAAATAAATGAGTTCCTGATGTTATTGAGATCCAAGCCGTTCGTTATCATATTTTTGATGATTATACGTTCATCTACTGAAAATACGACCTCATCATTGTCCGTTCGTGTTGAAGATGTTTGCCTAGACCAAATTGTTTTCTCTAGGAGTAAAATAATCCCATCGATATATGACACATTACTAATACCCATTTTGAAAAAAGACTCTTGTAGACTTGAAACTCCATTCTGTTGAAACGTTGAGATATAGATATTTTCGCTTAGCATTCTCGTTGCATGTTTATAATTTAACACGATTCCATCAACTTTGTTCAGCACTTCGTTTGTATCACATTCGATTATTATCTCCATCATCCGTTCTGACGGGAAAAAGCGATTATAAGAAAGAGACTTTAATTTCAATATGTTGATTGGTGAGCTCAGTTGGACATTAGACTTGGCAAAACGGACTTCAAGGTCCTTTTTAACTGGATTAATCGAGAATGTACATCCTTCGATTGAAAAATCTTTGAATTGCCATAAAAATTGATTGAATTCAGAACTGTTTCTGCACCCAATAATCCAGCTGCAGTCATCAGTCGAGTTCTGGTAAAAAAATTTCGTTATTTATTGTTTTCAAATTTTATTGAAACAATTTTTAAAATGTGATAGTTAATTAATATCATTAATTAAGAATACGATTAAAAATATTTAAATTTTCCATTTTTGAACAAATTTGTCCATTTAATTCAATTATCTTTATTTGTTTTTTTTTATCCTCTACAGATAGCTAATAATTTAAAGTTTATCGTAAAATTCATTGTTTTAAACTAGTTTTAAATCTTTATTTAGTTTTTATTTTTAGGTGCAAAAATTGATAAAGTTAATACTAAAATTGTCCATTATGAGTTTTACAGGTAACCGCATTTTATTGAATATCTCAAAAATAGTAAAAAAAAAAATCTGAACTATTAAACAAAATAAAGTTATCTGCGACAATCACATGTAACAACTCTGGTTAATTTTTATTTTTTACAATTTTCGAATCAATCCTGAAGGTTTGAAATTAAGACAGGGGTATAGCGAGACATTTTCTTGAGTTTTACGTCTCTATATAAATATTAATTTCTTTGGTACAAAACAAAGTACGGTAAATAGAATTTCAAACCAATTTGAGTAACTTTTTTTTGGTATTGAAAATGTTTATCCTAAACAGGAGCATATTAAAAACGATGAAAATATTTTCAGATGATATTTTTTACAATCTTATCATTGTGTGAGTCAAAATGAAGGTTTAAACCCTTCGTTAAATTACAATCAAGGTGAGATTAAAGTTATAAATTTTGTGCATCTTAATTATGAGCTATGAACTTGTATCTTTGACAACATTTTTTTTAAGTTTTTAAACATTTTCTTAAAAATTAAAATTTTCTTCATCTTGAATATTCTAGTATTTTTAATAAAAATTCTTACACTGATTTTTGGGATGATTTCTTAAATTAAAACACATTTTTATTAATTAAACTACACAAGAAAAATATCTTTTGCACTGATTTCTGTTTTGATGCATGCACCAGTAGGTGATGATGCACTTGCGAGTGAATTTGCACGTGTTGCCGCCAATGGAGATCGCAGATCACTAGTCTGATCATTATTGAAGTAATAAGTTGTATCTAAAAATTGAAAAAAAATGTGAAATTTATTAGAAATAATTTTTTTCATAACAAAAATCTAATTTTGAGTTATTCATTCGAATAATGTTCTCCTCAAATTTCTGATAGAAACTATCGGAAGAATTTTTTTTCTGGTCATGTTTAAATAAAATACTCACTGCTTACTTACTGAGGAGACTGCTGGTCGTTGGTACATTATATCCATAGTTGTACGCTGTACCATATTGCTGGTAAGGTGCTGAATTATACGCATAATCACCAGGAGACACAACGGAGCCATTATTTGCTGTAATTAAAAAAAAAGAAAAATAAAAAGTGTTATTTTAAAATTTAAATTATTTTTTTTTGTAAATCCTTCATATTAAATGTGAAAATTAAAAAGTCTGTGCAGCGCTCGAAATTCGATGATTTGACTTGCCTGTTGCATAGTGATTGAAAAATGAAGAGTAACCGGCACTTTGTGCGCTAGGTTGTAAGACAATCAATGAAGGAGAATTTTCTGGAACAGGAATGAGATTTGATTTTCCATCCATATGTCCCATTTGCTGATTATTCATTTGTTGTTGCTGTAACAGCAACAAGTGATGTGAATGATGAACAGCAGAATGATCAACTCCATTGTCCAATGAGTATCGTTGTAAAATCTGTCTTTTACTATTGCTATGATTTATATTTCCATCGTCATTCTCATTCATTTTATCAATCTTTGATTTTCCAGCTCCAGTGTTGTTATTACGGTCATTGTTGTTATTATTAGTGTCATTTTTCAGCATTCCCTGTGATGTCGATTGTCCATCTGGTGTAATGAGCGTAAACATTGGAAGCTCAGAAGATGAATCCGGTTGCTGATCTTGTTGACTCGATTGAGCCATTCCATCTTCGATTTGTGTTATTGCAAGCGTGTTGTAAGGAGTTGTACTATCTGTGGACAAGTAGTATGTATTGGTATTGTATCTTTCGATTAACATTTCACTTCCTCATGATTGTTACCAAATTGTGCAGACAACGTTTGACAAATATTTTGCATGAATATTAACCCATCACCAGTTATTATTATTTTTTCTTTTTTTTTTTATCAAAAGTTTAATTCTACGAGAGTGCGATTTGTATGTGCAAAAAACTTTCTTTTAAAAAATTAATTCGAATAAATTTTTGTAGTGAACAAAACAGTGCTTCCTTTCCATAATTAACTCTTGCTCCAAAAAAATCCTTCCTCACCTGCATGATATGGAGACATGGATTGATCCATAAGTGTCGTTGCTGCATTGAGCTTAATATCTTGCATACTTAATGGTGCCAATGATGTAAAAGAGCCTGATCCTGACGAAATTTTCGAAATATTTTGTTCATTTTTTTTTTTTTTAAAAAACTTTGTTTTTGCAATGAAATATTTCAGATACCGAAACAACTAGCTAAACTTTTAGAATAAATATTTTAAATACATACCGATAGCAGTTCCAATGGATGGTGCATAGAGTGTGTTTTGAGCTTGTGATATTGTCGTGATGCTATCATAGAGTATTGTATCCTGATTGTTGTTATTAACTGATGCTGGAAAAACATTATGAGTATCATAATACGATGAAGCGTTGTTTGCAGATGGATTGTTATTATTACTCGATGTATTGTTTGCATTGCTATTATTTTGGTTATTGTTATTATTATTATTATTATTATTATTATTGTTGTGCGGTGGCGTTGACATTGAGACAACAACTGAGTTATTCAAATCGAGTTGTTTTGGTTCATCCTTTATGCACCACTTTGATGACCAGAGCTAAATTTTGGTAAAAAGTATTATTATTTATATATAATATTGATTAAATTTGAAGCCATTTACATTCGGGTATATTTGCTCTCCATTATATTGAATTCGCTGTCTTTTTATGTCTTCTTCCATATGAATATTAATATCCCGGTTCTCATCTGAAAGGACGATAGAAAATAGTATAATTATAACGTTCATCCTAAAAATTATATGTAACATCGGAAATGTAAATCCTATCCGACAGTAATGAATGTTATCATTTTCATTTGTAAAACACAGAACACGCACATGCAATGTATTCTCATGAAACCAATGACCACTGTGTCCTATGATCACAAAACAATTCACAAAATGACTTTGCATGATTTTATCATTTCTATTATTGTTATTACTGCTAATGTTGTCATTGAAAAGAGTGACAACAAAAGGAGGGAAATTTTAGCAGGAACGGCATTTGGTCAATTCTATCTAACATTTCTCCCTAGTCTTTTGTATTAAAATCAAGTATCAATGTTTGAATAATACTTAAACTAAAATTGCAGGACAAACGCTCAATTGTCTCAGATTATTATTCAACTTTTCAATTATATTCATTTTATTATCAAAAACTTACCATGATCTTCGACGCGTTTTCTCTTCATGCTATTTACATTGACATCATTGGGATGTTGAATTCCAAGAATTCCATTGATACTATATCCACTTGTTATTCTTCCTTCACTACCATTTACTGAGCTTGGAGTTGCACCGTTACTGTCTTGTGGATCTGTCGTTGTCATTTGTGGTGATTGTGGGAGGTGGCCTAAAAAGAAGAAGAAGAAACAAAATGAGAATGTGAAACACTTTTGAAAACGAAACATTGTCGTAAGAGCGAGACAGGAAATGAGACGAACAAATGAAAATCTTTAAGAAAAATTAAAATGTTACCTGGCGGTGTCCCTGAGTTCTGAGATTGCTGATGAACATGTTTAGCCTTTTCCGCAGCTTTATTTCTTACAATTCTATAAAACAAAAATGATTTTAAGAAAATGTGAATTTCCAGTTTTAGTAATAAAAAAAAGAAATGTTTTTAATAAAATAGAGAATCGAATGTTTAAGGAAGTATGTGAGCAATAAATCAGCAAAGTCTGAGCCCCGCAAACAGCATTAGAATGTAGTGATTGGCATATCAAATCAGCAACGTCGTTCTCGATTTCCACAAAGACACATGACTAAAGGAACAGTAAAAATGCCATTAGTGACTGTGCAAAGATGCATTGACAATTTTATAAACTCCCGACAGCATTGACAATTTTGCTGACATTGGTATTCGATTAATACAATTATTGTGCACACTGAGCACGTGTCACGCATTTTGTTGTCACACGGCATGCAAACCGCGCTTATATATACAACAATAGTCATCATAAAAAGAGAAGCAAAAAGTTGAAATGTTTGTAAACAATTTTCATTTGAAGCGACGAGGGTGAAGTGAAGTGGTTGGCTATGAAGTTTCAAGCATTAATAAATGAAATCATCAAATTATTGTCACCAATGTGAAGGGATTTAGCTTCTTAATAAATATGCATAGTATATACGATTTTCACTGTGAATCAGATTAGTCTTGTGTGAGTCCATCTTAATCAGACTTGATAGGATAAATCAAAAAAATTATCGTTGTGCAATTTATTTTTATTTAATTAACTAATCTCAATAACCATTAGATGAAGTAATTTAATGCAAGCAATTTAGAGTCACAATAGAGCAATATCATTGAAAATATCAAAAGGGTTGCTTTTTCCATTAAAATTGATAAAAAAAATAAAATGACTTTTTTTGCTCTTTTCTGTGATTTTATTTCAAAATTCACCCTCTTGAAATTCATGTATATAAAGTGTAAGCCATAAATCCCTTTGCTTTTATTATTGGAGTTGAGAACAACATATTTTGTTAAAATGCTCTTACATAAAAAAATATCCATTACATAGCACAGCTATAAAAAAATAAGTTTTTTTTGATGTTGATGGTCAGAATGAGAAATTTGCAAGTTTGTGAATCAACACGAAAAATGCGCATTTTAGTCTTAAAGAGATTTATTTGCAAACTTCTTTTTTACCATCTAAATACATTCATTAACTCATCACTTAACACATATACAAAATAATAAAATAAAAGTAAGACACGAAGGCAAGTAAATTTATATTTTTTTTGCTAAATAAACTAAAGTAAATTAAAATATAAAATATCATCGCTTTCACTTCCACTCGAGTGCGCCGCTGAAAAATCGTCGATTAGGGAATTAAAACTGAGAAAAAAGCAGCAAATTTCAATTGATTTAGCTATCAAGATTAGATTTAATCATCACTCATTACATTGCGATAAATAAAAGAAGCGGGAAGAAGAAACTTTACTAGTTGCTATTTTTTCTGCTGTTTTGCCTCTTGGGACTAGCAATTCATGATAATCATTACATATGTTGTTATTTTTACAAGCTTAAGTACTAAAAGAGGGACGACGACTGGGGTGAGATTCAATTCAATCGCAGATCAGAATTGCAAAGATAATGTCATTTTTTATCTTTATTCTGTCCTACTTTTCAAGTTACAATAAATATACATGTGATACGTTTTATTATTCTTATGCCTTTATAGATTCATATTGGAGGGTGTTGTACTAATGGACATAAGATTGCAATCTAAATCACATTTTAAGTACTTGCCGAACAAAATAATTTAATTTGTTGTTTGCTTTCTTGCTTGGAATGTACAATATCATCGTAAAAAATTTTGAACATAATTTGAATTAAGGGACTTTATTTCATTTGCTTATTGTTATCAATAAACACATGTTAATATTAATGTTATTGCAAGTGGAAAATTGGATTAGATTTAATTGATCAATTTATTGAGTACGTCAATGTTAGCGTAATGATTTCAATAGTTTCTAGATTTTTACGCTAAGGAGTTCCGAACCGAATGATTTTGAGATGAGTGAAAATATTTTAAGAAAGAAATTCCGGCTATGATTATTTCGCACCTGGATAGTCATCACATTCTACAAACACAATGCATCCAAAGCATAAAGGAAAAAAAAAGAAATTTAAAGAGCAATAAAAATAAAAGAGAATTTTTTGAAAGGTATAACAACAAAGGAAGAAGCGGCAACCCCAGTTATGCGTGCGAATGTGAAGTGGCAGTAAATCACTCTGACGATAGCTCAATAGACTCTCGACTTGTATTGTGTTAGATTATAAACAGTCAGGAGTCAATTGTTTAGTTCATTAAATAAATATTTACTTCTTGTTTTCAGTTATCTCTCCTTTTTGAAATTTATGCCACTTAATGCCATTTTTTCTCATTTTATTTTTCGGTATTGTTATTTTTTCGACACATTCGATTAGGGATAAACATTAAAATTTAACCGTCAGAGTGATATTTTCTGATATTTACTGAATGGTAATTTAATATATAAGTTTAATCTTCAAAAGAAATGAAAAGGTTCTCAATGTTTATAAAATAACTGTTTATTGTTAATTATCATTAAGGAATTATTAGAATCGAGACAAAAGTTTTGTTTTCGTATCTCTCGCCTGCATCCTGAGAAAGTTTGGTTAAAATTCATAGATGCATCTCCCTCCCAAGGATTCACCGTTGTTAGAGAAAACAGTTAAATTATGGCATATCCTGTGACTACACTTCCTTTCAATTTTTCTATTCGCAATCATTCGAACATAATTCATTGTATATTCGAATGCACAGCATAAAAACATTTGTGCTATGTTCCTTTCAATTGGAAAATTATGATTATTATTGCTGCTTTATTGACTTCTATATAGACTTCTCTGCTTTATCTGCTTACATGCATTAGTTCAATGGCAAAATAATAAAGTTAATAAAAATTTCATTTCCAAAAAGGGGAATGAATATCGACATCATGCTGAGACATGAAGTATCTTCCGTTTTCATAGACCTTGTGCAATCTTTTTATTAGCGATATAATACAGATACAACAGCGGATTATGATTATTGTTGTCTTGATATCGTGTTTTAAAATGTCTCAATTAAATGGTGGTCCTAATGTTATAATAAAATACATGAACTTTCACTTAAATTTTATTTTTGCTCTTGAATTTATGATTCTTAGTTTAATTGCCAAAATATTTTTGGATCTTGCACGAAAGAAATTTTTAATACAAAATTAAATTAAAGAAATGGATAAAAAATATCCGGAAAATGCATTACAGAGGCGAAAAAAAATTCACAATTGAAGTTGTAGCAGGAAATGACAAAACAGATACAAAGAAGCCAAACGGTGAAAATTAATAAAAGACAAGACATCTTGGGGTTGAATTAAGAAATAAGGGGATAAATAAGGCAAGATTCAAGATGAATCGGATGTCGAAAACAATTGTTAAAGAAGAGGGTGACTTTTTGGTTTTGAAAAAATAAACATGCCAATTTTTGACAGTGAAAAATTTTAAGTTAATTCTTTAACAATTTTTTCAATAATTTCAACAATGATGCATAATTTTCTTTCAAAATGTCAATAAACTGGAATGAAGGTGATTCGAATTCTTTCATGCATCACGCATGTGCTCGACATTAGCTTCATTGTGAAACTGATTTCATATCATTTTTTGTCTTTTCCATATTTGAAAATTCATTTATTGCTTACTGAGCATGTTCAAAAATTTCATAGTAAGATATGAAAATGATAGCAAACGTTATTTTCTACCGACGGCAAGATTCAAACACAACAAATATTGCTCAATGCAATGACTTCCTAAATTTAAAGTTTTATTCCTTGAATATTTTGCTCAACTTTGAGCGTCTATTATTTCAATCGATGTACATAAACATAGGCTCTAGATTCAAATTATTTCAAGACCACTAACTCGTCCGTAGCCTTCTCAAATATGTATGGATTTTTTGGCATTATTTGAATTAGACCTAAACAGCTAAAGATTTTTTAACCTTTAACTCTGAAAATGAAAATGAAAATTTAAAGTGAAGAAAAGAAAAGAGAAAACAAAATAGGAAATTCAATCAAGACATCTGGAGACTTGAATGTAATCGAACTTTCCCTTTAATGTCCTTTCATATAAATCACTTTGTATTGATTGAATAGGATTGACGCTCAATTGACAAAATAAGCTACGACAGGATAGGAATGAAAATCGATAATCCATTCGGTAGTGAAATTTTATGAAATCTTTTTACACTGTTTTTTTTTGTTCGGTTTTACAGATGGAAAAAGCATGCGGAACAATGAGGTGAACATTTGATTGTGTTTTGTGTACGGAAGAGAACAACGATTGATAAAAATATAATAAAATGTATTGCCATTGTGCAGAGTGATGCGGGACGAAGGTTAAAAAAGTTCAAGGCTGTGAAGTCTTAAGATATCTGCTGGTATTTATAAAAATTGAGAACTTTGAAAAAATTATGAATTAAAGCTTTAATGTTGACTTGTTCTGAACTAAGATGGAAACAACTGGCAACACCCTTTAAAATCAAGAAATGTTTAGAATGAAAAGATAAATAAAAGGAGAAAAGTTTTGACTAAAAGGGAAGCGATGCATGAAAGACAGGATACAGCAGCACATGATGATGAAAGAAAATGAAGAAAGAAAAACGAGAAAATTACGAAAAAGAAAATGTTGAGAAAGGATTTCCGGGAAATGCCAACATTACATCCTTTACTCCCCATCTTTTTGGTTCCCTTATCATTATATTATTTTGAACTTTTACTTATGTAAGAAAATCTTAAAGTCAATCTCCATCGAAAAACAATATTTAATGAGAATTGAAATTATACAATAATATTTTTATTTAAATATGTCGAGGAGGTAGCAAAAATAGTTAAACTAAAAGAAAATTTTACTTAAATATTCTTTTTCGCGAGAGAAGCATGAAAAAGAGGAAAAATTATGGGTAACAAGTAGAAAGAAAAAGTTGGCAGCGCAAAGTTTTCGGAGCAGAACACTCATTAATATATTTTCTATTTCTTTTTTTTTCTTTGTCTTTCTGAATTTTTATCTTGTTTCTATTTTACCACATTTTTTGTGATGCTTTTTTGGTTTACTTAATAAAAAAAATATAATAACAAAGAGCAGGATAAAGAAACTTACCGATTAATGGACGAAACACTTGGTACATTATCTTGTGAGCAAATGCCTTCTGCGAGTAACCTGTCTCGAATTTCCCAAGCAAACATTGTTGGATTTTCTCTCTTGTAACTGGCGATTGCGTCTACAACGGGTGGTGTTGCCACTTTCGGTTTACTTCCTCCAATCACTCCTGCTTTAAAGCTCCCTGTTTCATAATATCTTTAAGCATTGAAAATAATTAGATAAGTTTGTGGAATTATCTGCCTCGTGTTGTGTGGTTTAACGAGAATTTTCTTAAATAATAAAAATCTTTTAAGGCCTTTCTGTCGTAATTAAAATTCCCCATTTAGACAAAGTTTTCTAATTCACTTTTTTGCATACATTTATGTATGGATGCTGAAAAATTGTCGAGTACGAGGAAAATTTAATGACTGTAGCAGTTAAATTTTGTACCAAAGTAATAAATAACCTACAAAATACTTCACATTAACCGAAATGGAAGCGGTGGATGTGCACACATTTTCAGGTTAATTTATTTGCCACCACATATGGCATAAAATGGGGAGCGTATATATTTTATATGTTTTTCTTCAGAGTTAATTTTTTGGGGGAAAGATAAATCGCGTAATTGAATCATCTCGTATACATCAACATTGTCTAATGTATTCGAAATATATCACATAATCAATTTTCTAAAATTTTCGTTTTCATGTGATTTAGTGGGCGTTTATTTGAAAAGCACAGATACATATAAATTACCTTGATAAAATTTTTGAAACACAGCCGTGACTGACGCGAAGCTGTCGAGATATATCACATGGACGTACACCATTATGTGCCAACTCGACAATTCGTTGTCTCACAACATCGGGCAATGGTCGTCCATTTACAAAAACTCCACCAAGTTGATTCACTCCACCATGGCCTGCAATAATGAAAATGATACAATAAAATGGATGAATATGTTATTAAAATGAGTCAAAATATTGTGACTAAAAAGGAGCATCTTCCATTAGGCAAAAATAAAAATAAAATTATCTGAAAACATCAAAAAAAAAATGAAAAGTTGAGAGAAATCACTACCGCAACCATGAATATTTAATACTTTTTGCGTGCTTTTCCATTACACCCATTTCCACCGACAAAGAAGACTTAAAGTGGATTACAACTCATTTACATTTACGCCATTACAGAAGCGAGATAAAAATAAAATAAATTGCTTGCGTCGATTAAAGACAAGAGGATGATAAAAGACACGCAGGAAAAATGAAATGAGAGAGAGAAAAACAAATCATGCAAATTGAATTTGTGGTTGATGCTAAAAAGGCGAATGAGATGGTTGGGTTTATTTTTTTTATCATCATGATGAGATGTGTATCTATGAAAATGCGAGATGATGAACATATGGTGGTTTAAATTTTTGTCGACATTACTTGATACTAGATGAATCTTGTCTATGCATTATCATGCTGATTTCTGGATAATATCAACACCGACATAATTTAATTTTTCCCATTTTTAATTTATTAAATTACCAGAATATACACAAAAATAATTGCAGCATGGCATAAGAGAAAAATCTTGAACTTTTGCCAAAAGTGAAGAAAAAAGTGGGAAATAAACAGAAGAGAAAATTAGAAAAACCAGAAACAAGTTCAAGCAGATATAACGATGTGCAGTCAAAGATAATAATCGTCAACATAATTTCAATAAAATTGCAATAAAAAGCAAGTCTAGATAATCATATTATGATGAGCATGATGTTAAACAAAAAACAGGCCCTCAAACAACTCAACAGCTAGTTTGTTAGATTAAAGTGGATTTTATATTCAGTTTGTTTATTTTGAGGGATTTTGTCGCTTTCACCCTCAATAAAGATTATTAAGGGTTGATATTAGGGTCTTCATAATTGAAAAAAATATTACGGCGACGATTAATACATAGCGATATTTATAATTTTATTTGACATTTAAAAGCCAAATGAAATGTTACGCATATTAAGAAGGTATCATCTCACATGTATCAACTTTCGAGACTCTTAATTATATTGTTGACATTTTATCAAAATAAAAATAAAAAATAAAAAGAAAATCATTTTCGCTATTCTAAATTCAATATCAATTCTCTTCTCATATTTTACAAGAGAACTAAACCTTCTAAAACTTTTAATTTTTCTCATGTTTAAATAAAATTCTATACTTTATTTAAACAATGAGTAGCAAGATCTTATTATATAAAACTTTATACTTTTCGTATTTCAATTCAAGATTATATTACAAAGTTAAATCATTTTTTTTGTACAGAACTAGAAAATTTGATTAAATTAAAATCATTTAATTATTAAACTTAGATTTTTGCAAGAAATGTGATATGTTTGGTCTCTTTCTAACTTGTTCATATGAATTTGCATTTACATTCGCTAATGAAGAGAAATTATAGTAATTCACACAAGATAAAATAATGCGAAAGCATTAGATCCCGTTCTAAACGATTAACGTCGTAAATGGTGCCAAAACATTCTTTCCGTCATGCACATACTCGAGATCTCTGATTTTAGATTTGTCGGTAGCGAGAAAAGGCAGCGACAAGCTGTTGTCGCATTAATGAATCATTTAAAAATTTTAAAAAAAAATCTTTATTATGTTTCGAGCATTTCGCATTTAATTGCGCAATATGCACGTCATTTAACTCGCTACTGCTGCTGTTATTAAATTAAAGTTTCGAGTGCATTTTAACACTTATATATCCAGAGAGTTTTTAATTATTGTAGAAATGTAACATTCTGAAAATTTCTCAAAATGTAAAGAAAAACCAATCAAAGTCAATAACATTTTTTTTAAAAAAAAATAAAATTAATCGATAAGAAAACAAAATAAGTTTTAAAGTTCAATATAAGAAGAAAAAAAAATCAAACATTCAACAAAATAAGTCAAGGAGAGAAAAAGCATGGAAAGGAAATTAAGGAGCCAGAACACGACAGTCTGAACACAAAGAAGTGGTAGCAAAATGGAAAATTTGTTTGGATCCGATGGTTGCCCAAATATTGATTTGTCTGACAGGCTGTTATTTCTATTGCTAAGTCTCTTGTGAATGTATGTGTGTGACAATTTTCATTACAATCACTGTTCACAAATGGCCCATTAAAGCTTAGTGAAACCGATTTTTTTTGTTTCAACTGCTGATTCATTTTACTTATCCCTGTTTAACCTCAAATTGGCACAATGAACTTTTGATTCAATATTTTATTTGAAATCAAAAATAAATACATACATGAAATTTAAATTATCATTTTAAGTGGTTAGTTACAAACATTGTCCAACTTTATTTATTTTTTTTTTAATTTTTGAGAAAATAAAACAGAACTCTAATGATATTTAAAATTATCACATTACAGACCACAATGCTGGTTATTCATTTTTCAGCAATTTTATGTGAAATAAGTTAATTAAAATAATTTAAATGTGGAGTTAATTTGGAGTACAAAACAATTAACAAAACTTATTTTTGAGAATGGTTTGCGAAATTGAAAGAATTCAACATATTTTTCACATTCAATTCACCTTTAATGTTCATTTTCTTTGCTTCATTTTACCACCAATATTCAACATAACATAGACGTGGGTGGCACATCAAATCAGTAGAAAATGAAAAAATAAGAAAAAATCAAAATGGCGCAGAATTCCTTTCTTCTTTCACATCGCTATTTTCTTCTTTGATGGAAAAAGTTTTCTCCCTCTAAGAAAAATTTAATGGAGAGCAAGAAAAAGAAAAACTCGAAGATAATGTCGAATTTGTACCTTTAATTTAACGATGGAAATTAAGACGAGATAAAATCGCGGAAAATGCAATTAGGATCATATCGGAATCCATTTCAATTTCGTCTTTTTATTTTATTTTTATATTTCATTAAACATTTCTCTAAAAATATGATTTTTGTTGACTTACACGTATAGTATTCCATCATATTTTGATTATATCGATATGCAGTTGATAAATCCATTTTAATTTGAGCCGTGAAATAAATTTAATTTTATTATATTTTGTTGATTTAAAACTTTTGCACTCCAATATTATTATATTTTAATTTTGTAAATGACTATTGGCTCATTTTTATTATTTTTAATTATTCAAATGATTTTATTTTCCGATATTTCGATTTGTTTTTATTCTTAAAATCTTTTACATACATCTCTAAAGATGAAATATTTACACCAGCGGCAAATTTATTACAATTTAAAAAATCAGATAAAATCACTTCAAAATGAATAATTCACACAAATTGCACTTTTGGATTAACGTTCGTTCAAAAGTATTTTTCTTTTAAATTTGTATTACACAAGTTAGATCTGTTTATTCACTATTAAAATTAATTGATAATTCATTATTTTTAAAACACTGAAAATATTCTGAAAACTTGATCTCGTTCGTTCTAACTTTTGTAATCCTTTTTTAAGAAATTACATTTTGGTAAAATTTAAAACAGACTTTCTTAAATTCCAAGATCTTTCATTATCCTGTCTTTTGAACTGCTATCGTCATCATTTGCCTTTTTTAATTTTTTATTCCTGTTCACTTTTCTTGAAATAGCTTAATTATAAAATTTGCATTTTATTTTATTTTTTTGTTTGAAACTTTAAAAATAAAATCCTTAGATTGTGACACTTTACAATTTTATATTTTTTTTTTGCAAGGAGCTAAACCGCACAACGTTTTCTCGCTCGACCGAAATCCGTCTAATCACTGTAAAAGACTGTGCGGGTGTCTAATATCAAAGAGCAATAGCAGCAGCACATACAAAAGAAAACAGTCGAGAACGTTGAGCACACGAGGATTAAAGAATGAAAAAAAAAAGGAGAAAAGAAAAAGACACACAGAGCACGGTAGAGAGGCAGCAGCAGTAGCAAGCAGAAAAAAATTCTCGAATGCTAGCGAAGCAGCAAAATACCCGTGTGGTGTGTTTGTGGCGCACAGAAAATTATTACTATGAAGAATTAAAACAACAACAAAAATATTCCTCGATTCTCAATTTTTCTCTTGTTTGTCTCTACCGTAGCCGTTTGCTTTTTGCTCTTTGAAAAGGGGAATTTTTTTACTGAAGCAGTAGAGATGAATCTTTAAATAGAAAAAGAGAGAGAGAGAGAGAGACCTTCTCTGATGTTCAATCTATTTTGCCCTCTGCAATACATGCTCATATGTTGTGACGTTATTCAAAATTATTTTTTGCGATTTTCTTAGGAATTATAAGCATACTCATAGACCTACTTCGAGAGCTCCCCATATATAAAGCAAAAATAATATTAATTGTATCATATTACAAATCTATTCTCAAAAGTATCAAGTGTCAGTGATATAAGGTGTTTTGTCAACAAAGCTCAAAGTAATCAGCACAAGATTCAATTTTAATCCGATCCATTTGACATTGAATACAGCTTTGAATGTGATTTAAAACCTGTTCAAGCAATTCGTAGCCATCCCTGGAAATTCATGTATAATCTTTTGACATTTAAAAATGAAAAATCCAGCTCAAGTTTTCCAAGATACATCTATTTTTTTCATGCACATAATGTAGCGAACAAAAAAAATTATTTCACAATTTATGACATATTAAAAACAGTACAACAAAATCGAAAAGAATTTTTTGGCTCCACCTGGCTGCGCACAAGAGGAAAGTTTGAGAAGATGAGTTCTAAGGAAGAAAAAGCCTGAGAGAGAAACTGCCAAATTGTGTGTGTATATGTATATAAATGCATGTCGAATGAGCATAAAACCACCATAACATCAAATGGAAAGAAAGAAAAGTATTTTATCGGATCGTTCGGTGGGTAATTCAGTGTGGAAATTCTACTCACGATATCACTAGAGATAAAAAGAAGGAAGAAGGAATAATATTGAGATGTTGCCAATTTTCCTTGTTTTGTTTCATAT